CTCCGGCTCTTTTGTCTGGCCCCGAGCGCTGCTGCCGGGGCTATCCTGGCAGATGGAGCCGCCTGTAATTGCAAACCAAGCAGCCAAAGGCCAGAAGGGTCCCCTGTGGGGAGAGCTCAGTTTAAACTAAAAGGCTTTAAATCTCTGTGCACCTGTCACCGATTTCAGAGCTGGCCCGGCCTCCGCCTTGCTGTGGAGCAGTGCCTCCCTGGGCCTCCAGCCTTTTTCCTGGAGCTGGGTGGTGCTGCTCTTTTCATGTTGCGTTTGTGCTCATTTCTCAAAGCCACCAGTAGGCAATCGGGCTGAGATATCATTCCATCCTGCCTCTGCTGCCTCCTGGGGTGGGCACTGGGCTGCCTGCGGAGCTGGTAACTGGCCGTCAGCCCTCCCTGGGGGAGGCAGGACGACCCCGGGCCCGGGACCTGCCCCCTGCTCCAGGAGCAGGGCCTGGGTTGGTGCTGCGACGAGGGCTGTGCTTATTGTACGATCTTGGAATGGTTTGGGTTGGAAGGGACCTCAAAGATCATCTAGTTCCAATCCCTCCTGCTCGGGGCTCTGGGGCAGCCCTGCTCCTCCTGTGTGGCCAAGGGGCTGGAGTTGGGGCTGGGGAGGTCTGGCCCCACACTCTCCTGTTACTGTGACCCTGTGGGGCACCCCACTGTGCACCTTGAGCGAGTGGGGTGCTGGGGGGTGGTGGACGCAGCCCTGCGGGCAGGTCTCTGCCTCCCCTTCCAGCGCCCAGCTGTGTCTGTCAGGCAGAGGAGATTCCTTCCACGTTGTGGAATCGCCCTGGGGTGCAGGCAGCCCAGAGCAACTCCAAGAGCAATGTCTTCCCTCGCAGAGGGGACACAGATCCCTTCCCAGCTCTTGGGAAGGGTGTGTGGGAATGGGAGCAATGCCCAGAGCCTCCTTCCCCACCAAGGGCCCCTTCCCCCCTCCTCCCCGAGCAAGGGGCTTCTTCAGTCCCTCATTTTTCTCCCATACGTTTATTACACTAATCCACAAGGATTAAGTTAAACCAGTCAATGCAAACTCCAGTATTTTCCAGCCCATTTAGGCCAAAATTACTGTCCAGTGTTAA